CGGAGGACGCAGAGCGCGGAGGACGCAGAGGGCGGAGGACGCAGAGCGCGGAGGACGCAGAGCGCGGAGGACTCAGAGCGCGGAGGAGGCAGAGGGCGGAGGACGCAGAGGGCGGAGGACGCAGAGCGCGGAGGACGGGGGAGTCCTGTGCCTCCCGCCCAAGGAGCCACACCCTCCTGTTACGGGCAGGGGGGGACCGTGTGTCGGCTGCAGAGGATGGAAAGGAGTTTGTCAGAGCAAAGGGGGAGGGGGCTGTTCCTGGCGGTGAACAGCTGTGTGAAGGCCCTGAGGCCGGACGGGGCCACCTGCCCTGGGAGCTCCGGTCAGATAACGCCAGGGGCACCCGCATGCAGAGCCCTGTGGGGGGGAAGAGGCCTCCAGGAGGTAAGGGGTCAGGCTCACAGGCAGGTGGCTGGGGGTGCGCACACTGGCCCTGCCACACCTGTCATCCCAAATCCCTAAAACGGGATTGGTGTTGGGTTCTCAGTGAGGCACAGAGGTGCCCAGAGCGGCCTCCCGAGCTCCCCTCAGCCCTGTGGACCTTGGGGCCGGACCGTTCTTTGGGGTGGGGCTGTCCTGGGCACTCAGGATGCTGAGCAGCGTCCCTGGACTCCACCCACTCCATGTGAGGAGCTCCCCCAAGTTGTGACAACCACAGATGTCCCCCGACATGGGCCAGGGTCCCCTGGGGGTGAAACCGCCCTGGTTAAGATCTCCTGGGTCAAGGGATTCCACAGACCCCCTAGACTCTGCGTCCCATGAGCCTCTGCCCTGCTGGGGTCCCAGGAGGCTGCACACACTGAAATCCACGCCCTGAGTGGGGAGGCAGAGAGGAGGTCAGTCCCAGGAACTGGGGTTCCTTAGTTTACACCGTCTGCCTCATCGGGAGTTGATCCTGGTGTCTGCTGTGGGCAGGAAGAGAACTGTTTTTTCCCCACCTTAAATAATTAAGGCAGAGTTTCCCAACCCCTATTCTGTGGACGCTGAGGTGCCAGATTGTTCTCTGGAGTGGGGCCATCCTGGGCACTGCAGGCCGCTGAGCAGTGTCCCCGGCCTCCACCCCCTCCATACCCGGAGCACCCCCACAGCTGTGACCACCACAGGTGGCCTCAGACATGGGCCAGGGTCCCCCTGGGGGCACAGACCCTGGCTGAGGACCCCTGCTCTTTTTTTTTTTTTTTTGGACAGTTTCCCTCTTGTCACCCAGGCTGGAGTGCAGTGGTGCGATCTTGGCTCACTGCAACCTCTGCCTCTCAGGGTCAGGCGATTCTCCTGCCTCAGCCTCCCGAGTAGCTGGGACTACAGGCGTGAGCCACGACGCCTGGCTAATGTTGTATTTTTAGTAGAGATGGGGTTTCTCCATGTTCGTCAGGCTGGTCTCAAACTTCCAACCTCGGGCAATTGGCCCGCCTCAGCCTCCCAAAGTGCTGGGATTATAGGCATGAGCCACCGCACCCGGCCTTTTTTATTTTCTTCTTCTTCTTTTTTAAGACAGAGTCTTGCTCTTGTTGCCTAGGCTGGAGTGCAATGGCACAATCTTGGCTCACTGCAACCTCCGCCTTCCGGGTTCAAGCAATTCTCCTGCCTCAGCCTCCCGAGTAGCTGGGATTACAGGCGGGCACCATCATACCTGGCTAATTTTTGTATTTTTAGTGGAGACGGGGTTTCTCCATGTTGGTCAGGCTGGTCTCAAACTCCCGACCTCAGGGAATCAGCCCACCTTGGCCTCCCAAAGTGCTGGGATAACGGGCCTGAGCCACCGCCCCCGGCCAGACCCCTGCTTTTGTATCTGTCTTCTGCCGCCCGGCACCAGACCTAGAGCGATGCCGGGCAGAGGGGGGTAGAGCACCCCCTTCCACTCACCCCTGGCTGTGGTGGGCAGGGGTGGAGGGTGGAACTGGAGGCTGGGGAGACGCCAAAAGAAAACAACACCACACGACACAGTGTTTTCTGTTAAAAGTCAGAAGTGTTTTGTCTTGTTTTAATATCTCATCAGCTTTACAGGGTTACAATCGTCTTAAATATTTCTGAAGTTTAAATACAATCTGCATAATAATGTTATTATAAAATGTAAACTTTCAGTGTTCTTTTAAATTTCAAAATCACACATTTTTTTTTTTTTTTTGGTCTTTTTGTCTTTTTTTTTTTTTTTTTTTTCCTTTTAATACCTGAATGTTCTGCAAAAACTGAAATTGTTACAGGCCACCCTGCTGCGGCCAGGGCGACACAGGCTGGGCCCAGCCAGAGGTAGAGAGTAGTTTTATGGGTTTGTTTTTTTTTTTTTTTTAAAGTTTATTTATTTATTTATTTTTTCTCCTATTACCTGAGTTTCAGGCGTGGTCCCCACGCCATCTGACAAACCCCAGAGAAACTGAAATTTCACATATCATGAATGAATGAAAGGCTGAGTTTACGTTACGTTTGCCAAGAAAAAAAATACAAAAGCACAGTTAGGGAATAAAGGGACAAAGTGAGTTAAAAAATGATAAAAGGAAGGAAATTCGACTGTACAGATGCGTGACTCTTAACAATGACCTGGCTGCCCCCGGTGCCCCATGCCCACCCTCCCGCCTGTCCCCCCAACATCTCAGAGCAGGGGGAGCCCCCCTTGGCCTTGAGTGCGGGGTGCCCACTCAGTACGCAGCTAGGCCCCACGGTCCCAAGTGAACTCGAACCCGTCTAGGGTCCTTGTGGCTGAGGGGGCTGCCCGGCCCCCTCCCGGTCTGCATAAGGGGGTTGCTGAGCTGCACCCCAGAAAGCCACCCCGACTTTAAACCCCCACCGACAGGCGGTGGCGGGAGATGGGCACGGCTGGGGTTGAACAGGGCTACCTGAGGCAGGGAGGACCCTCTGGAGCCCACGGCTTCCTGCCCAGTATCCAGAACCGGGTCCCCACAGACTCCCTGCAACGGCCTCCCATTTCCACGGCCAGCACGGCCACGGCCTTCAGTGCCTTCCTTCTCCTGGGCCGGGACCCAGCCTCGCGCCCGCTCCCCACCCGCCCCCCACTTGTCCCTACAATCATTGGAGTTAACAGCAGGCCCAAGTTCCCTGAGTTAGAATCCAGTTCCACCCACCGCTGGGAGGCCGGATTGCCCACACAGACACGACACACAGGATTCCCGACACACACACGCAGCCCGAGAGACGCGGCCCTGCGCAGCCCCTCCCCAGCCTCCGAGGCGGGCAGGTGCACGGGCCACCAGATGCAGCTGGCAGCCAGCCTCAGTGGCTGCTGCAGACCTTGGTGCACGGGAGGTGGGGGAGAGGCACCCCAGGGGCTCAGATTTTGGCATCAAAAGTCAGACCTGAGGTAGACAGAGATAGGCAGCAGGTGCTTCTCCCAGCGCGGGGCCCAGGCGTGGGACGGGGGTCCCGGGGAGGAGCCCTGGAGGCCGGGGGGCACAGAGTTCAGGTGGTCCTGCAAATGGGGCCCGATTGTGTCTGGAGGCGAAAAGACACCCCCTTCCCAGGGTGATTGTGCTGCTACGGTGCCGGCCCCAGGAAGGGGCAGGGAGAACCTAGATACCCACCACCCCCTCCTGGAAAGGGGGTGTGTGTCCACGGCCCTGAGATCCGAGAAGGAAGTGCGGACCCCTCCCCAAAGACACAGGGAAGTGACAACCCCCTCCCACAGCCCGATGGGAAAGTGAACCCAGACTCAGGGGCTCAGAAGCCCCCCAGCCCCCTCCCCCGGGGGTCTCCAAGGCAATGGCGGAAGGGTGGTTAGGAGCAGGGGGAGTTGGGGAGTCCCCTTCGTCACTGACCCCCCATGCCGGTGGCCTAACAGGGCTCCCAGGGCCCAATTAGAGACCCAGGCTTACCCTGGGAATAGCTGAGTTAATCCCCATCCCAAGATGATAGCCCCGCCCATCACCACCCAACACCACGCGGGTCCAGCAAGGTCCCCACACCCTGCCGCGGATTTCAGACCCAGCCTTTCTGCTCCAGCAGCTCCAGTCAAAATAACCTCTCAGCTGCGGTGACCCCACTTTCTTCTAGCCTGGGGGAGGGGCACTGACCCACAGGTTGGTGGGGGCAGCCTCCCTTCTCGGCTTCGATTTAGGTGCCCACAACTCGGGGAGCTTGCGGACCCGGCACAAAAGGCGTCGGGAGAAGAGGAAGGGACAGAGCGAGGAGAATGTTGGGATGTGGGGGGGTGTTCAGGACACCGGGGCCCCGAAATCCTCACCCTGAGCGAGGTCCGGCTTCACCCCCACTCCCCAGTATTGATAGTCCCCAAAAGCAGCCCTTTCGGGCAAGAGAAGAATCTGGATGAGACAGTGAGAGCCACATTCATCCCTGAGACAGGAGCCTGGGGACTGCGACAAGAACCACCCCTGCCCCCCAGGCCCTTTTTCCAGCACTTGCTACTTTTTAGATAAGATTTCCAGGCCGGGCAGGCGCGGCGGCTCACGCCTGTAATCCCAGCACTTTTGGGAGGCCGAGGCAGGAGGATCACCCCGAGGTCAGGAGTTTGAGACCAGCCTGACCAACACGGTGAAACCCCGTCTCTACTAAAAATACAAAAATTAACCGGGCGTGCTGGCGAGTGCCTGTAGTAGTCCCAGCTACTTGGGAGGCCGAGGCTGGAGAATTGCTTGAACCTGGGAGGTGCAGGTTGCAGTGAGCCGAGATCGTGCCATTGCACTCACTCCAGCCTGGGCGACAACAGCAAAATTCCGTCTCAAAAAAAAAAAAAAAAAAAAGATTTCCAGGCCCCTGACTCAAGAACCCAGCAGGCAAGCATGGCACAAGCAAAAGCAAAGTGGAATATCACAGTCAGCAGATCACTGTCACCGGGCCCCTGGCCCGAGACCCCAGCATGCACCCCCTGCCCCAGCCTGGCTCCCAGCACCTGAGTTCACTGGCTTCGCGGCTCTAGCCCCAGGGATCCGATGTGCTGGACTCACAGCTGCCCAACGCACCCCCAGAACCGGACAAAGGGACCCAAATTGGTCATGGGAAAAATAAAAAGGTGAAGTTTTTTTTTTTTTTGCTTTTTTTTTCTTGCTTTTTCAAGATCAGTTTCCCTGAAGGAACACAAATATATAGCTATATAGATATATAGATATCCTTTTCCTAAGGTTTGATCCCCCCAAGAATAAAATAGAATATTTACACAACAAAACCCCTGAAACCTCTTAAAAACCCTACGGAGAAAAAAAAAACAAACATTTCCCAAAGCAACAAGAAAAAAAAAAAAAATTCAGTGATCTTAGTTCAGGGGTCTCACTGGACACGAGAAGCTGGGAGTGGTGAGTGTGTGGTGAATAGAAACTAAAAGAGAACTAAAGCAGGCAAAAATGAAAACACACAGTGCAGGGATGTTTGAGGTAAATGGGATTGGCCCACGCTGCAGTGGGGCCGAACCAGACACCAGAGCCTTCGGTCCATCAGGGCTGCCGGAATGCCCTGAGAAATGTCTGCCTCTTTCTGTTTTTCTGATGGATTTCCTTTGCTGTTCTCACAATTCATCTCTCTGAATGTCCAAAACCTGAGAAATTCAAGTGTTCCTTGGTTTTCCCCTGTTTTATTAAATTTTCTTTATATATATACGTATATATATATATATTTTTTTTTCTTCTTTTTGGCGTCAGCTGTGGCTCCTTTCTGGGTATCTTCCCTCCCCACCCGTATCTTCCGCCATCCTGGCCCCTGCATGGCCCACCTGGACCCCCTGCCCAGGCTGGCGGGCTCCGGGGTGGGTGGCGGGTGGGGAGTGATGCGGTTAAGGCAACGAGTTATTTGAGGTAGATGTGGAGGGTCCAGACAGCCCTGCTGGCCCGGCCTGGCCACCGCTGGTTCCGGTGTTTCCTCCCCGGCCGCCTGCGTTGCTGCTGCCGCTGCCACCACCACCTTTGTTGGAAGCAGAGGGTGGCGTGGGGGCCGGCGGCTGAGCAAACAGAACTCCTAAGACAAGAACAGAAGACATACGCCATGCAGAGTTTAAGAAGACGCGAGGCGGGCCACAAGGGAGACCCAACGGGGTACTCCAGGACATAAACTTCTCTCACTCTGTCCCCCAGGCTGGAGTGCAGTGGTGCCATCAGAGCTCACTGCAGCCTCAACCTCATGGGCTCAAGTGATCCTCCCAGCTCAGCCTCCCAAGTAGCTGAGACCACAGGGGCGTGCTACCACATCTGGCTGATTTTTTATTTTGTTTTATTTATTTATTTTTTGAGATGGACTCTCACTGTGTCTCCCAGGCTGGAGTGCAGTGGCGCGATCTCGGCTCACTGCAAGCTCCACCTCCCGGGTTCACGCCATTCTCCTGCCTCAGCCTCCCGAGTAGCTGGGACTACAGGCGCCCGCCTCCGCGCCCGGCTAATTTTTTGTATTTTTAGTAGAGACGGGGTTTCACCGTGTTGGCCAGGATGGTCTCGATCTCCTGACCTCGTGATCCATCCACCTCGGCCTCCCAAAGTGCTGGGATTACGGGCGTGAGCCACCACGCCCGGCCTTGTTGTTGTTTTTGAGATAGTGTCTCGCTCTGTCGCCCAGACTGCACTGCAGTGTTGTGATCTCGGCTCACTGCAGCCTCCACCTCCTGGGTTCAAGCAGTTTTCCTGTCTCACCCTCCTGAGTAGCCGGGACTGACAACAGGCGCCCACCACCACACCGGCTAACTTTTGTATTTTTAGTACAGACGGAGTTTCACCATGTTGGCCAGGCTGGTCTCCAACTCCTGACCTCAGGTGATCCACCCACCTCGGCCTCCCACAGTGCTGGGATTACAGGCGTGAGCCACCGTGGCTGGCAATTTTTCATTTTTTGTAGAGATGGGCTCTCACTCAGTATGTTGCCCAGGCTGCTCTCAAGTTCCTGGCCTCAAGCAATTCTCCTACCTCTGACTCCCAAAGTGCTGGGATTCCCCACTGTGTCTGCTCACTTGTATATCACACACATGCATAATCCACACATACACATCAGCATGTACACAGCTCATGCAGGGAGAACCCTGATGCCCATGGTTTGTTGACATGGGGTTGCGGGACCCCTAGCACACAGATGGCCTTCTCCCCTGTAAGAATCAATATGAATGTACACGTTTTGCATCTAATTTCAGGAGGGCATGGACCCCTCAAACATCCATCTGTGGACCTGTGAGGACACCATTGACCTCAGCTCAGCCTCTGCTCTGACCACAGTCAGGGCTCCTGCAACCAGGCTGCTCTGTGTCAGCAGTGCCACCTGGTGGCCGCTATGAGCCATGGGCCTGACTCCACTTTAAGAAAAACTCTTCATTTACTTATGTTCTTTTGTCGAAATGGGGTCTCCTGTGTTGCCCAGGCTGGCCTCAAGCAAACCTCTGTCCTCAGCCTCCCAGTGTTGGGATTACAGGCCTGAGCCACTGCCCCTGGTCTGACTCCACCTTTTAAATTCTTCTTTTTTTCTTTCTCTGAGACAAAGTCCCGCTCCGTCGTGCAGGCTGGAGTGCACTGGCGTGATCTCGGCTCACTACAAACTTCGCCTCATGGGTTCAAGCAATTCTCCTGCCTCAGTCTCCCAAGCAGCTGGGATTATAGGTGCACACCAGCACACCTGGATAATTTTTGTATTTTTAGGGGAGATGGGGTTTCACCATGTTGGCCAGGCTAGTCTTGAACTCCTGACCTCGTGATCCACCCACCTCGGCCTCCCAAAGTTCTGGGATTACAGGCATGAGCTACTGTGCCCAGCAACTTTTAAATTCATTTTATTAAAAAAAAAAAAAAAAAAAAAATATATATATATATATATATATATATATATATATATATGGTCCGGGCATGGTGATTCACGCCTGTAATTCCAGCACTTTGGGAGGCCGAGGCGGGCAGATCATCTGAGGTCAAGAGTCTGAGACCAGCCTGGCCAACATGGTGAAACCTCATCTCGGTGAAACCTCATCATTATTAAAAATACAAAAAAAAAAAAAAAATTAGCTGGGCATGGTGGCACACGCCTGTAGTCCTAGCTACTCAAGGAGGCTGAGGCAGAATAATCGCTTGAACCCAGGAGGCACAGGTTGCAGTGAGTCAAGATCGCACTACCGCACTCCAGCCTGGGTGACAGACGGAAGACTCCATCTCAAAAAAAAAAAAAAAAAGAGAGAGAGAGACAAGATCTCTCTTCCACCCATGCTGGAGCACAATGGCGTGATCTCAGCTCACTGCAACCTCCACTTCCTGGGCTCAAGTGATCCTCCCCCTCAGCCTCCAGAGTAGCTGGGATTATGGCTGCATGCCACCACGCCCGGCTAATTTTTGTATTTTTAGGAGAGATGGGGTCTCACTATGTTGCCCAGGCTGGTCTCAAACTCTTGGGCTCAAGTGATCCTCCTGTGTTAGCCTCCGAAAGTGCTGGGACTATAGATAGCCGTGAGCCACTGCACCCAGCCTAGATTAAATTTTTTTGTTACTTCATTTACCCTGATGTGATTATTAGGCATTGGATGCCAGTATCAAGACATCTCGGCCGGGCGCGGTGGCTCAAGCCTGTAATCCCAGCACTTTGGGAGGCCGAGACGGGCGGATCACGAGGTCAGGAGATCGAGACCATCCTGGCTAATGCGGTGAAACCCCGTATCTACTAAAAAAAATACAAAAAACTAGCCGGGCGAGGTGGCGGGCGCCTGTAGTCCCAGCTACTCAGGAGGCTGAGGCAGGAGAATGGCATGAATCCGAACGGCGGAGCTTGCAGTGAGCTGAGATCTGGCCACTGCACTCCAGCCTGGGCGACAGAGCGAGACTCCGTCTCAAAAAAAAAAAAAAAAGACATCTCATAAAACCCATGAATATATATACCTGCTATGTACTCACAAAAATTAAAAATTAAAAAAAATAATAAATTCATTAAATTTTTTTTCAAGAGACAGGGTCTCGGTCTGTGGCCCAGGCTGGAGTGCAGCGGCATCATCACAGCTCACTGCAGCCTCAACGTCTCTAACCCCTGGGCTTACATATTCTTTGCTCCTCAGCCTCCGAAAATGCTGGGATTGGCCGGGTGTGGTGGCTCGCGCCTGTAATCCCAGCACTTTGGGAGGCCAAGGCAGGAAGACTGCGTGAGCCCAGGAGTTCAAGACCAGTCTGAGCAACAAAGCGATTTAAAATGTAAAGAGCAACAACAAATTTAAAAATTAACCAGGTTTGCTGGTGCATGTCTGTGCAAGACTTCGTCTCATAAAAATAAATAAATAAACTAGGAATGTGATCCATCCGGCGTCACACTGAATATGTATCTGTGGATGACCCCCTCTGGGCTGAGCACGGCGCCAGGTGAACGACGGTATCCTCTCCATCAGCCTTGACTGTTTATCCCGCAAAGCCCCTGGTCGTGCCCTGCTTGCCCGCACAGCTGGTTCGAGCAGGTGGGACCAGGAGCAACCCAGGGCCCTGAGTTCACGGTGGGAGAGGAAAGGTCCAGGCAGCGCGTGGCCTCAGGGGTCCTACCTGTGTACATGATGCCATTGATCTCCACGGACATGCTGATGCTGTTGCTGCCGTTGGTGCCTGTCAGGTTCACAGCGGAGTCCTGGCGGCTCTCGGAGGCTGTGGGAAGAAGAACAAATGCATTTTTTTTTTCTTTTTTTTTCAGACGGAGTCTTGCTCTGTCGTCCAGGCTGGAGTGCAGTGGCATGATCTCGGCTCACTGCAACCTCTACCTCCAGGGTTCAAGTGATTCTCCTGCCTCAGCCTCCCGAGTAGCTGGGACTACAGGCACCCACCACCACACCCGACTAATTTTTTTTAGTATTTTTAGTAGAGATGGGGTTTCACTATGTTAGCCAGGATGGTCTCGATCTCCTGACCTCATGATCCATGCACCTCGGCCTCCCAAAGTGTAGGGATTACAGGCGTGAGCCACCATGCTCGGCCAAAACTGCCATTTCTGATCATAAAGACACCTGTGGCATGTTCTGTTTTCTGTCTGTCTTGCCAACTAGATTTTAGCTTCACAAGGTGTAGACAGTGTCTCTCACACTCATGCTATCACCAGTGCACACAGTAGGTGCTCAGTATTTATTTGTTCAATAAGTGTATTTGTCCATACTCTGCTTTTTTGTTGTTGTTGTTGTTGTTGTTGTTGTTGTTGTTTTGAGATGGAGTCTCACTCTGTTGCCCAGGTTGGAGTATAGTGGCCGGATCTCAGCTCACCGCAAGCTCCACCTCCCAGGTTTACGCCATTCTCCTGCCTCAGCCTCCCGAGTAGCTGGGACTACAGGCACCCACCACCTCGCATGGCTAGTTTTTTGTATTTTTTAGTAGAGACGGGGTTTCACCGTGTTAGCCAGGATGGTCTCAATCTCCTGACCTCATGATCCACCCGTCTCGGCCTCCCAAAGTGCTGGGATTACAGGCTTGAGCCACCGTGCCTGGCCTGCTTTGTTTTTTTAACCTTGTTTTTGAGACCAGGTCTTGCTCTGTCACCCAGGCTGGAGTGCAGTGGTGCAATCATGGCTCACTGCAGCCTCGACCTCCTGGGCTCAAGTGATCCTCCCACCTCAGCCTCCTGAGTAGCTGGGGCTACAGGAGCGTGCTACCACGCCCAGCTAATTTTTGTAGAGATGGTGTCTCACTGGGTTACTCAGGCTGATCTCAAATTTCTGGGCTCAAGCAGTCCTCCCATTTCAGCCTCCCAAAATGCTGTGATTATAGGCGTGAGCCACTGTGTCCAACCAGTTTTTTTTTTTTTTTTTTGAGACGGAGTTTTGCTCTTGTTTGCAGTGGCGTTATCTCGGCTCACTGCAACCTCCACCTCACGGTTCAAGTGATGCTCCTGCCTCAGCCTCCCAAGTAGCTGGGACTACAGGGGTGCGCTGCCATACCTGGCTAATTTTTTGTATTTTTAATAGAGACAGGGTTTCTCCATGTTGCCCAGGCTGCTGTTGAACTCCTGACCTCAGGTAATCCACCCGCCTCGGCCTCCCAAAGTGTTAAAATTACAGGAGTGAGCCACCGTGCCCAGTCCCCTCCAGGCTGGAATACAATGGTATGATATCTCGGCTCACTGCAACGTCCGCCGCCTGGGTTCAAGCGATTCTCCTGCCTGAGCCTCCTGAGTAGCTCAGATTACAGGCACCCACCACCACTCAGCTAACTTTTGTATTTTTAGTAGATATGGGGTTTCACCATGTTGGCCAGGCTGGTCTCAAACTCTTGACCTCAAGTGATCCACCCACCTTGGCCTCCCAAAGTGCTGGGACTACAGGTGCGAGCCACTGCACCCGGCCTCTTTTTTTTTTCTTACTGATTTGTTGGCACTCTTTACATATGTAGGCTCCCAGGCCCTCACTGTGTGACACAACCAGGAAGCATAGCGGGTCTGGACACCAGGGCAGTACCTTGGCTGTTGATCCGAATGCTCATGGGCAGCTGGGCCGCCATGGCCAGGAAGTTCTGCTGGAGTGCCCGCTGCATCAGCCGTTGCTGCTCATCAGCCACCAGGGCCATCTTCTTCTCAGGAGGCTCCGCAGACTCCAGCTTCTCCCGCAGCTGTTCCAGGGCGGCTGCCTGTGCGGCCACAGCTGCTTGGGCGGCTGCTGCTTGCACAGCTGCTGCCTGGGCTGCCACCACAGGGTGGCCTGCCAGGGAGACAGGCAGGCGGCCAGGGACCGTGATGGGGATGGTTGAGTCCTCCTCTAGGTAGGAAAGAAGGGGAATTTGTGGCCAGGAGGGGCTGGGCACTGCCTTACTCGAGGCAGGAACATGCACCTTCTTTTTTTTTTTTTCTTTGAGACAGATTCTTGCTCTGTTGCTTAGGCTGGAGAGCAGTGGAGTGATTTCAGCTCACTGCAACCTCCGCCTCCCAGGCTCAGGTGATTCTCCTGCCTCAGTCTCCCGAGTAGCTGGGATTACAGGCGCCCACCACACTCAGCTAATTTTTTTTTTTTTTTTTTTTTTTGAGACGGAGTCTCACTCTGTCGCCGAGGCTGGAATGCAGTGACGTGACCTCGACTCAGTGCAACCTCTGCCACCTGGGTTCAAGTGATTCTCCTGTCTCAGCCTCCCAAGTAGCTGGGACTACAGGCAAACGCCACCACACCTGGCTAATTTCTGTATTTTTAGTAGAGACGGGGTTTCACCATATTGGTCAGGCTGGTCTCAAACTCCTGACCTCAAGCGATCTGCCTGCCTCAGCCTCTCAAAGTGCTGGGATTATAGGCTTGAACCATCGTGCCTGGCCTAAACAAATTTTTTTTTAGATTGGGTCTCACTACTGTTGCCCAGGCTGTAGTGCAGTGGTGTAATCTCAGTTCACTGCAGCCTCGACCTCCTGGGTTCAACCGATCTGACCACCTCAGCCTCCTGGGTAGCTGGGACCACAGGTGAACGCTGCCACGCCCAGCTAATTTTTTTTTTTTTTTGAGATGGGTTCTCACTATGTTGCCCAGATGAGAAATGGGAACTCAGACAGGCAAACTCAGGCCACGCTGCTGCATGTGCTGTTGGTACCTCTGTGTTATGGAGGGTACAAAGGCTCAGTGGGAGGGAAAACTGATCAACTGATGATGCCTGCCTCAGTGTAGACTGGAAAAACAGTGATCAATTAGTAATATCTGCCTTGGCCACAGGACTGGAAACACAGATTGATTAGCAATGTCTGCCTGCCATCTGTGTGGGATTAGAAAAGCGGTGATGGATTGGTAATGTCTGCCATGGGCAGAAGACTGTAGATTGGAAGCCCTTTTCCATGCCAACTATAGGGTTTTTCATCCTGGTTACCCAGAGAGGGGAAGAGGTATCCCCCAAGGTCAGCCAGCCAGGCTGAAGCTCAGTTGGGAACACGCCCCAGGCCCCATGCAGGCCCTTACCTTTCTTGATCTTAGGGGCGGGGGTGATGGAGCTGCCGTTGGTGCTTGCGGCCAGGCCCAGGGAGGACACGGGCAGCTTGGGTGAGGAGAGCATGCCATGCGCCCCACCTGGCGAGTAGGCAAAGAGGGAGCCCCCAAAGCTTTGGCGCCGGCCCTCCCGTCGGTTGCTGTCTATGGCTGCCTGGAGCTCATTGGGGTTACTGAGGCCCCGCTTCTCACACTCGTAGGGGTACAGGTACTTCATGTATCTGTGGGTGGGACGAGGGAAGAGGATGGCACCCAGATCACCCCTGTGGCTCCCTTTGACCTTCAGTACAAAGTAAACCCCACTGTGGCACCACCATCCCTGGCTCCTCCCTTGGACTTGCTCAGCAGCCCCCAGAGCCACTGGGCCTTCGCCACGCTGTTCCCTCCATCTCAATGCTGTTCCTCGCAATGGCCCCTGATTGCATAACCCCAGAGCCTGTGTGGTCCTCGCACCCCTACCTGATGCTCTCAGGCCCTGGATGCATAGCGTGGCCCTGTACCCTTTGCGGCTGCCCACCACGCCCTCCCTCTTCTGCAGGGAGCCACTTGCACTGGCTGCTGAGTGCCCTGGCCCGACCTGGGCACAGCTGCCCGCCACTCACTGGGTCCGCAGGGTGAAGGCCGCACTGGTGATGGACGTGGGCAGGTTGAGGCCCTTGGTGATCTCGCGCCATAGCTTCTTGTTGATGACCTCCACGAGGCCGCCCTTCTCCGTCACCAGCACGTACAGCATGAACAGGTCAAGGACCTGTTTGGCCATGATGGGGATACGGTTCACAGGCGTCCCTGGGGGCAGGGGCGAGAGGGAGGTTGGGGGCCACCTGGGCACTGCAGGGAGCCGAGTGTCCCGGCCTCCACCCTCTCCATGCCAGGAGCATTCCCCGGCCCAGGCTGTGACAACCACAGATGTCTCCAGACGTTACCCAGGGTCCTCTGTGGGTGCAGGGTCATCCAGGTTGGGAACTGCTGCTCAAGAGGGCACCGAGGGGGCAGCTCTGCCTCAGTTTACCCACCAGTAACCTGGGCTTAGGGACAGCGCAGCCCTCGGGAGGAGGGTTACTGAGAGGAGGGACGTACGGGAGACGCCTGGATCTTTGTTATTCCTTCTCCACGCCACCCACCACGGCAGCTGCCAAAACAACTCTGCCTGGGTTTCCAGAGGCCTGTTCCCGCCACGCTGACAGGGACTCTGCAGCCTCAGGCCCGTTCCCGCCACGCTGACAGGGACTCTGCCTGGGTTTCCAGAGGCCTGTTCCCTCCACGCTGACAAGGACTCTGCAGCCTCAGGCCTGTTCCCTCCACGCTGACAGGGACTCTGCAGCCTCAGGCAGGCGAGGGGGAAAGCTTGGCATACCCGATTTGGAGTTTGGAGAATGGAGGGCTGTGGGCTGGCCTAGGGAGGGGAAGGGGATGGGCTAGCCCCGGCATGGGGGGGTGGGCTAGCCCAGGAGGAGAGGGTTGTGGGCTGTGCTATGCCAGGGTGGGAAAGAGGGACGATCAGCTCAGGCAGGGGAAGGGCGGTGGGTGGGCTGGCGCAGGAAGACGACGGGGCTGGGCTGACTCAGGATCCTACAACCTCATCTCCTGGAGCTGGCTGAAGACAGGGCCCCTCCCCACCCTTCCAGCCCCACCCGCCCCCTCCAGGGCTCTCCCAGGCTGCCCCTGCACCGGAGCCTCTGGCTTCAGATGTCAGCTCCACCTCTGCCCAGCCTCTCCCTGGCCTGACAGTAGGGCAGGCCCCCACTTAAACCTCTCGTCCGGTCAGTGAAATTCTGCGCTTAGGAGATCAATTGTGTACTGTCTGCGGCCCCCGCTCCATGTTCTGCCTACATGGGGTCCTGGCACCCAGTGGCATACAGTAGGCGCTCAGTGAAGACCAGTGAGGGCAAGTGGCCCAGGCCACAGCTGCTGCCCACTCACCATGGAGTGGGAGGGGATGCCCATCGCCCCGTTGGGGATGGGGACGTGGACATCGGTGGTTCTGTGATGTGACTGGCTGGAGAGCCGGTGAGGCCCTGAGTGAGCGGCCGGCCCTCTGCCTGGATGAGGCCTGCCACCCCTGGGACTCCCGGAAGAAGCTTCCGGAACCACCTCCCACCACCCTCGGCCACTTCCAGGCCCTTCCCAGGTTGCAAAACCCCCAGTGAATGGAGGAGATCCCGGGTTGGAAGAAGATGGGCCTCAGATCCGACCCCACCTGAAACCTGTTTTACAGCCTCAGAGAGAGGAGCCACGCCGGGTTTTAACTGCACAATCAGCCCAGAAACCTTCCCAGAGCCTCCGTCCGGCCTCACTCGGGACATCAGTTCAGGCCTCAGAGTTTGCAAAGCAAAAGGAACGGCATCAGGCTGGGCGTGGGACTCACGCCTGTCATCCCAGCACTTCGGGAGGCCAAGGCGGGAGGATCACCTGAGGTCAGGAGTTCGAGACCAGCCTGGCCAATATGGAGAAACCCCGTCTTTACTAAAAATACAAAAATTAGCCGGGCGTGGTGGTGGGTGCCTGTAATCCCAGCTAATTGGGAGGGTGAGGCAGGAGAATCGCTTGAACCCGGGAGATGGAGGTTGCAGAGAGCTGAGGCCCCGCCATTGCACTCCAGCCTCGGCAACAAAAGCAAAACTCTGTCTCAAAAAAAAAAAGGATCGGCAGCAGAGGGTTAGAGGGTTGGTTCCCAGGGCCGCGCCCTGGCTTTGCAGTGGTGGGAGGAGGATGTTTACAGAAGCAGCTGGGAGCATCAGCAGGGCCCATCTGGGGCCCAGATAAGGAAGGGCGGGGAGGTTGTCAGGGAACAGCAGGTCAGGTGGTCCAGGGGCTGCTGCTGAGGGGCAGGGGGTGCGGTCAGGACCCCTCCCTCACTTCCAGCCCCCAGAGAATTCTGAGAAATTTAGTTGGAGGTTTTTACTTTGTGATACAGGAAAAAAATTGTTCCCTCTGTCTGGAGTGAAGGAGAGGTAGATTGTGGAGTCTAGGGTGACAGGCAAGTTCACCTGACAGATTCTCAGCTCCAAGGGTCCCCATTACAGAGCAGGAAGCTCCAGGAGAAAGGCAAGGAAGAGGGAGGTTTGAGGCTGGGTTGTGAGGGATGCATAGGAGCTCGCTGGCTCCTGTCCTGTAGGAATTCCCAGCTTGGAGAGGGAAGTAAAGCTGGACACCAACCCTCACGGCCCCATGTGCCAGGCGCCTCCATCTCATCCACACTCATGAGCAGCCTACCATGCTTGCTTTTTGTTTGTTTGTTTGAGACAGGGGCTTACTCTGTCACCCAGGCTGAAGTGCAGTGATGCAATCATAGCTCAGGGCAGCCTCGACCTCCTGGGCTCAAGCAATCCCCACTCCTTGGCCTCCCAAGGTACTAGGATTACTGGCGTGAGCCACACCTCACCCAGCCTCACTGTGCTTTTTTTTTTTGCTTTTTTTGTCTTTTTTAAAGACAGAGTCTTGCTCTGTCGCCCAGGCTGGAGTACAGTGGTGCAATCTCAGCTCACTGCCATCTCTGCCTCCTGGATTCAAGCAATTCTCCTGCCTCAACCTCCCAGGTAGCTGGGATTACAGGCGCGCACCACCATGCCCGGCCAATTTTTGTATTTTCAGTAGAGACGGGGTTTCACCATGTTGGCCAGGATGGTCTCCAACTCCGGACCTCAAGTGATCACCTGCCTCGGTCCCCCAAAATGCTGGGATTACAGGTGTGAGCCACGACACCCCGCCCTCACCGTGCTTTCTTTTTTTTTTTTTTTTTTGAGACGGAGTCTCGCTCTGTCTCCCATGCTGGAGTGCAGTGGCCAGATCTGAGCTCACTGCAAGCTCCGCCTCCCGGGTTCACGCCATTCTCCTGCCTCAGCTTCCCGAGTAGCTGGGACTACAGGTGCCGGCCACCTCGCCCGGCTAGTTTTTTGTATTTTTAGTAGAGACGGGGTTTCACCGTGTTAGCCAGGATGGTCTCGATCTCCTGACCTCGTGATCCGCCCGTCTCGGCCTCCCAAAGTGCTGGGATTACAGGCTTGAGCCACCATGCCCGGCCCACCGTGCTTTCTAAGTACGCCCATGACACCAGCAAGGTACCAGGCATGGGTAACAGCAAAACGGGTTGGCTTTGGACCCGGGAGCTTGGAGCCCCACAGCAGAGTGGTCAGGGCCGAGCAGGTGTGAACGGGATGATAAAGGGTCACGGGGAGGATCTGTCCAGCCTCATGGGGGGCAGTGGGCCCTGGTCAAGGCTGGGCTTGGAGGATAACACAGGAGAGGCCCCCGCCCAGGTCCCAGGTCTGGATCCTCTGTTCCCAGCACGGGAGGGGTTAACTCAGAGGCTGCTGGGCAGTGTGGGCCGGGGGACCCACAGCCCTCCTCCTTCTCCTTCCCTTCCGGGCGGGCGGCTGGCAGTGGCGGGTCTGGGGCCTGTGTTTATAGAAGCCAGGGGAGGGGTGGGCGGAGGCTGGGACACAGCGGGTGCCTACGACGGCCCCGGCATGGCCCCAAGTGCAGGGACAGAGCCCTCTGCCCCACCCCTTCCTGCCTCTGTGGGCCCCGAGACCTCCTCCCCCGTCTGAACAGTGGGGTCTGAACAGTGGGGATCGGAGCTAGCTCCCTGCCCTAGAGGAGTGTCCAGGGGATTGGAGCGGCTCCTACCTGGCGGCAGACGCTCCTAGCCGCTCGCTGGCCAACCAGGACTTAGAGGCGAGATGGAAACCCTGGCCACATTCTCTTTGCCCCGTGGTTGCTCTAAGCTGGGGTGAGGCCTGGGAATGGCCGCTGGGGACACTCTGGCTACCCTTGGTCATCTCTGAGTCTGTCTTGTGTCTGGACCTCAGTTTCCCCACCTGGACACCAGCCCAGACCTGCCCTCCCCAGGCCAGAAGACTTCAGGGGCATGGCCGGGCGCGGTGGCTCAAGCCTGTAATCCCAGCACTTTGGGAGGCCGAGACGGGCGGATCACGAGGTCAGGAGATCGAGACCATCCTGGTTAACACGGTGAAACCCCGTCTCTACTAAAAAATACAAAAAAAAAAAAAAAAAAAAAAACTAGCCGGGCGAGGCGGCGGGCGCCTGTAGTCCCAGCTACTCGGGAGGCTGAGGCAGGAGAATGGCGTGAACCTGGGAGGCGGAGCTTGCAGTGAGCTGAGATCCGGCCACTGCAGTCCAGCCTGGGTGACAGAGCGAGACTCCGTCTCAAAAAAAAAAAAAAAAAAAAAAAAAAAAAAAAAGAAGACTTCAGGGGCACAGAACAGTGTACAAGCGGCCGAGGCCTGGTATACCGTTGGTGTCCAATAAGTGCGCACAGTAAACAGCAGCCCTGCACTCAGCATGTCTGGGGTACCTGCTGGCCACTGAGTTTTGGGCAGGGACTGTTTGTGGCCCATTTTTACAGATGGGGAAACTGAGGCCCTCGTGGGAGGAGGGGAGGGGGCCAGGACTCAAATGCCACGAGATCATTAGACTCTAAGCCACCTCGAGGTGGGCTGGGGGCTTTTGTCCTGCCACACCTGCCCCCACCTGGCCAGCCTGGATCTGACCCCACTCCCCAAACACAGCGGCTGGCTCCACTCCCCCAGTACCCAGTAGCGGGGACCCCCCACTTCACTGCACCCTGGATGCCAAGGAGACGGCCTGGACTGTCTGTTCTGGGCTGGGGCCCTGAGACTGCCCCGCCCCCCACCAGGGGGCCTACCCCTTAGACTCACAGGCGTGCCTCCCGCATCAAACCCCGATGGCAGGATGTGCTTCCCCCCAAGACATCGCTGAAGTCCCTCCTGATTTAGGAGCCTTGGATGCCTCCAGCCACGGGGAACTCACTACCACCCCAACATACCTGGAGCCAACAGGGCCCCTCCTACAGCCCCGTTTCTGTGACCTCCCTCCGGGGGGTGAGAGCAGAGGGCTCACCTCGCTTCTGCATGAAGCTGAACAAGTCATCCAGGAATTCCTTCCTCTTGGGGTCCCCGTCGAGTTCGTAGAGCTGTGAGGGTGGAGAGGGGATGGGTTAGTTGGTGCCAGAGCTCAGGTGTGGGACCCACGTCCCCCCTGCGCTGGAGGCCAGGCCAGGAGGACAGGAGCAGGGGTTGCCACCCCTAGGACCCCCGAGCCGCTGCTAGAGCCAAAACAGAGCCGGAGGCCCCGTTGGGCAGGTGAAGAACCACAAGGGCTGCGAGACAGAAATGCCAGTGAACGAGCTTCCCAGAGGGGCTGCAAGGAGGCCCCAGAAAGTAGGCGGCCTGGGATGACAGACGGTATCCTCTCCGGGTCCAGGGGCCCGGGAACCCCAGATCAAGGTGCATCCTGGCTTGTGGCCGCAGCACTCCAGTCTCTGCCTCCGTCTCCACGAGACCCTCTCCCCGTCTCTCTTTCCTCTTTTCAGGACACCAGCCTGCTGGCTTTAGGGCCACCTCATCTCAAATCGATCCTCGACTCCCTACAGCCACACGTTGCAGCTTAAAACAACAGAAATCTATTCTCTCGCGGTCCTGGAGCCCGGAAGTCCAAAACCAATTTCTCTGCAAGGTGGCGGCTCACGCCTGTAATCCCAGCATTTTGCAGGGTGGGTGAATGGCTTGAGTCCAGGAATTCAAGACCAGCCTGGGCAACACAGTGAGACCCCATCTCTACAATAAAATACAAAAAGTTACCCAGGTGGAGTGGCTCATGCCTACAGTCCCGGCTACTTAGGAGGCTGAGGTGGGAGGATTGCTTGAGCCTGGGCAGTGGAGGCTGCAGTGAGCCGAGACCGCACCACTGCACTCCAGCCTGGGTGACAGAACGAGACCCTGTCTCTAAAAACAAAACAAAACAAAAGGTGCATCTGCAGGCCTGCATTCCCTGCGAAGCCTCCCAGGAAGAGACCTTCCTGCCTCTCACGGCTTCTGGGGGCTCCAGGCTCCTGGGCTTGTGGCCACGTCGCTCCGGCCGCTGCCTCTGTCTTCATGCAGGACGCGTCCTGATAAATGTGTCTGTTGGTGATTTCGTCAGTGTGAACATCAAAGACTGAGTCACACGCACCTCACGGGTGGGGCCTCCCACACACCCAGGCACAGGCACAGCTCAGCCAGCGCTCCTGGAATACGAATCTGTGGCTGTCCTGGGTCCCGCGGGCAACGGCAACGCGACGGTGACTGTTTGTGCGTCTAATACAGCTGGACACAGAAAAGGTGCACAAGGAATATGGAATTCGAATCTTGTGGGACCACCGTTTTATCTGCGGTCTGAGGCTGACCTCACGTCAACACGTCATTGTACTTCTGTAAGGTCTCCCGTTTCCAAATGAGGTCCCGTCACAAATACTGGGGGTCCAGTGCTTGAACCTATCCTTTTTCCTTTCTTTCTTCTTTTTTTTTTTTTTTTTTGAGCCGGAGTCTCTCTCTGTCCCCCAGGCTGGAGTGCAGTGGCGCCATCTCGGCTCACTGCAGCCTCCGCCTCCCGGGTTCACGCCATTCTCCTGCCTCAGCCTCCGGAGTAGCTGGGACCACAGGCGCCCGCCACCACGCCTGGCTAATTTTTTTGTATTTTTAGTAGAGGCGGAGTTTCACCATATTGGCCAGGATGGTCTCCTGACCTTGTGATCCAACCGCCTCGGCCTCCCAAAGTGCTGGAATTACAGGCGTGAGCCACCACGCCCGGCCTATTTCTTTTTTTTTTTTTTAATTTTAATTTTTATTATTATTTTTTTGAGATGGAGTCTTGCTCTGTTGGCCAGGCTGGAGTGCAGTGGCAGAATCTCGGCCTCCCAGGCTCAAGCAATTCTCTCCCCTCAGCCTCCTGAGTAGCTGGGATTACAGGCATCTGCCACCGCACCCGGCTAATTTTTGTATTTTTTGGTAGAGACAGGGTTTCACCATTTGGCCAGGCTGGTCTCGAACTCCTGACCTCAAGGGATCTGCCTGCCTCAGCCTCCCAAAGTCTTTTTTGTTTGTTAGTTTTTAGAGACAGGGTCTCACTCTGTTGCCCAGCTGCAGTACAGGGGCGCAATCATGGCTCACGGCAGCCTCGACCTCCTGGGCTCAAGGGATCCTCCCGCCTCAGCTGTCCAAGTGGCTGGGACCACAGGCACTCGCCATCACACAGGGCTAAGTTTTCACATTTTCTTTTGTAGAGATGGGGTCTTTCTATGTTGCCCAGGCTGGTCTCGAACTCCTGGGCTCCCTCGATCCTCACACGTCGCCTTCTCAAAGTGCTGGGGTCACAGACGGGAGCCACCGCCCTCCACCTTATCTTCTTTGGGGGACACAATTTAACCTACGACAGTGCCTGCCTGAGTTCACACAGCAAATCACTGCAAACAGTCACCAGCATGCCTCCCGGGGCTGCCCTGAGGGCTGGACAGGAGCGCGTGTGCTCTGAGAACCGGCTCTGCTTTGCAGATGAGGAAACTGAAGCACAGTGGTGCGTGTGGGACCAGAGCCTGAGGGGATGTCAGGGACTCGGCCCAGAGCCCCGTCCTGCTTCCCATCCCAGTCCTCCTGCCTCCCGCTGGCTTCCCCGCACCTGGAGCCTGGGGTCTCGGCCTCCGGCTGTGAACCGAGCCTCGGACTGCCTCTGCCTGCCAGGGTGATGGCTGGGGAGGAAGGAGATCACCAAGCCCCAGAATGTCTTCCAGAGGGGAAAGGGGCTCTGTCTGGGGTACAAGGGGCCAGGAGGTCCCCCAGCCCCCCGCCCACAGGTTTGGGCGGGCAGGCAGGGGCGGGCAGGGTGGGGGAAAGCCGGCAGGGATAATTAGAAAGCGGAGTTCAGGCGGGGGCCAATTTGCCGAGGAGGAGCTGCGACAAATACCAGGCTGCAAATTAAGCTCCGGGGAATGTGGCTGGCTGGGCAGTGGGGGGCCTTGAAACCACCAATTAGGCCTCAGCTGGGATGATCCGTCATTAGGGCCCAGGAAGGAGGCCCACGCCCAGCCCCTGCTGCCGGGGACATCCCAGGTGCTGGGGAGGCCGGGCGGCCGAGGGCCCCGCCACCCTGCAGCCGTCCCGCGCCTCTCTGGGCCTCAGTTTCCCCATCTGTGTACTGGAGGCTCAGTGAGGGCTTCCGGGAGGGGGCTGGGGGGACAGCCAGGAGTCCTGACCTCTGCCCTGGGTGGTCGAGGCTGCCCGAGGTCCAGCTGCCTGGCCTTTGTCTCCGCCCCACCCTGGCCAGCGCCAGACTGGCCAGCCCGCATTCCTGCACTGATTTATGGTGGCCGACGACGAGGCCTTTCCCCTTCGGCTGCCCGAGGGGTGTGGGGCCCGCAGGTAGACCCGGCCAGCCAGGCCGGTGGGTCCCATGAGCACAGGCACGCACACACGGCCACACGCCTGGCCTCGTCCTCTGACCCCAGGCCGGCTCCCGCCCACTCCCTCCACGCTTTTCCTCCGAGACCCCGTCCATCGCCGAGTCCCGGATCTAGGGTTCTGTCTGGGGTTCTGTCTGTTTTGTTGCCAGAATCTGGGATCTGGACTTCACCGTTGGGGCTGTCCTGGGGTGAACGCCGCCCCCCACCCAAATTCACATCCACCGAGACCCTCAGAACAGGACGTTACTTGGAAAAAGGCCTTTGCAGATGTGATCAAATGGAGAAAAAGTCACAGTGAAGGCCGGTGGGTCCTACATCCAAGGGCTGGGTTCTTAGACATGGAGACGGTCGCACAGAGGCAGAGGCCGGCCACGGGGCCACACCTGGAGCCCCCAGGAGCTGGGAGACACGGAAGGCTCCTCCTGCAGCCCCTGGAGGGAGCACAGCCCTGCGAACGCCTCCGTTTTGGACTCTGGGCTCCAGGACGGAGGGAGAACAGGTCTCATTTGTTTGAGGTCCTTCGTTACGGCGGCCCCCCTAAGATGTGAAGGTAGAGGCCAGCACACCTTGGGCCCTTCCAGGGCAAGGGGAAGGTCGTCTCCTCTGAGATTCTGACCCGGTGTTGGGAGGGTCTACCCTGCTTGGACCCCCCCTTCCCCAGCACAGCCCCTATAAGAAACCTCACCACACCTCCTGCCTCAGTTTCCCCTCCTCTCAAGGAGAGTGTGTGAGAAAACACAGCGGCTTTACCCTAAGCACCTGGAGCCCCAGCAACCCTCACATCCCGGGTGGGGAAACTGAGGCGCCCGGCAGCAATCAGCTGCCCCGTGTAGGACCAACCAGGGTTGGGGTTGGAGGGGGGGAGCCATTAACCCCCAGGCCAAATGGTGGGTGAACTGGGCCGATGGCGAGGCACGGTCAGACCCCTGTGGGGCCGGGGCACTGATGTGTGGCAGTAAAGGGAGGACCTGCGGGGGCCCCAGCTGCTGGCGGGGGAGGTGGCTCTAATGGCCGTTGCTGTGGGCAGCCAGTAACAAAGCCGGCAGTAAAGGCGGCCTGGGCTTTATGGGTCTCTGGCCCCCGGTTCCGCTCCCCTGCGGGGGACGTCCCGCCCTGGCCAGCTGGCCGAGGCCCCAGGGAAGGGAAAGCAGGGGACGGTGTCCAAGCTGCCCATGGTGGTGTCCAGGCCCCCCTTGTGGGCCAGATCCTGAGTTGAACTGCTGGGCCACAGCACACCCCATGGCAAACCCATGCCTTGATTCTCACCTGGGTTCTGTGGCTGAAACCCTGCCCCTCTGAAACGTCGACCAGAGAGCTCTGAAATCAGCCGCCCACCATGCACCCACAGGAGGCCTAAACCCAGGCTGGAGATTGGGCGAAATCTCCGGAAACTCCCTCCCTGGAGGCCGAGGGCTGAGATAAGCGGTCTGCCCTCCCATCCCCGCCGCCTGGTCTCCCTGGGGCCCACTCTGATCACGGGAGGTGCCCCTCCCCTGAGACCCCCACCGCCCTCCCATCTGCCCCGCCAGGCCGCCTTCGCCCGGCTGTTCCTCTCCTCTCCAAGGCCTTCTCAGCCCCTTCATCTGGGTGCCCTGTGGTCATTGCCTTCCTGGAGGGGAGCCCCGTCCTCCCAGGACGGAAATCACCTCCGCAGACGCTCTGCTCCCACCCACCTTTACCGACCACCGGCCTCATGGGGT